GGCTGAAGTTCACATCTCTGCCTGTGACAGATAACATTTACACTCAAAGAGGAAGCAGAATGGAATCTGGTTCACTTGCGGAATCGGCTTCAGAGTAGAAAGGAGTTTGCTAACTTGGCAAACGTTATGGAGAAAACAGCATCACCTCATCTTTGCTGAACAACAAGAGATCTTAACAACCAGTTAGAAAGCAATCAAGAATCATTCCCAGCACAATGTCAGATTCAAACCTCTACTGCACTTCTTCTCCTGGGCTCTAACAAAGCCGGGACCCCATGAGGAGCCGGAGCTGTTCTGACGCGTCCCCTCCACACCTCCCTCTCCACATGCCAGCAGGAGGGCCGCCTGCAGCAGCCCACATCTGCCCTTGCCAGCACCACAGGCACAAATCCCCAGCGTTCTGCAAGGGCAGCAGAGCTCCTTGCAGCTCTGACCCTGTGGGTGCCACGCTGTTAGGCAGCCAAGAAGCCTCTGTCACATGGCAGCCCCCCCCACACACACAATTTTCTGTTCAGGGAAGAAATCTGCAGGTGCATCAGGCTAAGTCTTCTGGATCTTGGTGGGCAAATTCCATCCCACCTACCGTTCCCCTATCCTCTTCACGCATGAAGTCTCCATGCTGGACCTCAATGCCCTTCGTTTTATGTGAATTCTCCCAGAAGGATCGGGGGAGATGCCTTTAATTAGCCAAGCAACCTTGAAAACAACATTGTTTTCCAAGAAGGTATTTTACATATCTTAGATAACTCCAGGAGGGATTTATGTACTCTCTTCTTCTGGTAACGCTACAGTCATAGCCCTAAATAGAGAAACAGCTTCAGGGACAGACAGCCTGTTAGATGAGGCAGAAAACAATTCAGTTCTGTGACATAAAGGTTACTTATGTGTCATGGTAAACCGCAGACATTTATGGGAAGCCTGGACTTACCAGGATGGAAATCCATAACACCTGAAAGGGACCAGGAAAGCAGCCACCTAAAAATGTGGGTTTGACTAGTACCAGAAAGGTAAGTGACCTTCAGCAGAAAGAACTCAGATCAGAACAGCAGCAATGCTGAGCTTTGGGTCTGGGGGCTACCAACCGCTCACTGTCTCACCTGCTGCCAAAATGATCACCTGTATACTCAAAAGAGGAGTAAATACATCTGGGCACTCCCCTCTGTTCCCATTAAAAGTAAGGGTTTTATGCTTCTGGTTCCTGTAGCTTTCCTGCGAGCAGGGTAGGAACTGGAAAAGAAACAGGCGAGGTCCTACATTCACGCTAAACATGCACACTATTAAAAAAACAGATGATACAAGATCAACAGAGCATGAAGAAAAGATCATCAAATAAATCTGACAAGGTTTTAGGGAAGAAAAATCTTTTCTAGTCCAGTTGATAATAATTTTAATAAGGAATCTAGGAATTTCCTCAAGGCTGCCATGTGATTCAGAAAATAAGAGCTCAGAACTGCTGCAGAGTCACCACGGCTTCTTTGTAATAGGTTATTAATTCTGATCTTTTATTATAACCTAATAGAGGAGGCAGATAAATGAAATCAAAACACATGGCTCCAAGTCCCCAGGTCTGCAAGGACAGATAAGGAGGAGCACGGCTGAGAAACTCCTGCACGTTGAAGCTGTCCAGGCCACCAGGAGAGCAGCTGTACAATGGCTTGTAGAAAGTGGGCCGATCTTAAAATATTAGTATTACAACACAAGGCTTTTCAAGCAGAATTCTTGTAGCTGTGGCATGCAGGGAGCTAGAAATAGAATGCTTTGGATTTGGGCTCACACACGCAGAGATCTGCCAGTGAAAAACACTACGAGCAAGTGCCAGCGAACATTTGAACAGAGCCCTAGGAAAACTGACAAAAGGGAAAAAAAGCCCAGACACTGATCAGCAGGGGAAAGAGACCAGTGCAGATAGCCTTCAGCTTCTTTCCAAAAATGACTCCGTTGTTCAGACACTCCTTGCTGCACCTTAGGAACTGGATGCTAACTGGTCCTGGAGACGATGGCAGACCAAAGACCATCTCTGAACTGCTTGACTTTGCTCACTGCACGCCCTTGCCTAAGCTGAAGGGTTCCTTGTGCTTTTTCGCTTTAAACTGGAGCTGAATGGGTCGGATTCGAGCCGTACACCCAGCCTGCACAGCTCACTGGCAGATGGACTTATCAGTGCTGCTAAGAGTTTGAGGTCTGTCCACAGGAATAGAAAACTGCTCCACTTTCAACAGCTTTTTATTTATTTTAAAATAAACAATGCTTTCTAGAAGAAAAGCGTTTCTGCAGACTGCTTCAGAAATCATGTTTATTCATACTTGAAGAGATTAGAGCAGCAAGGGAATGGGAATGTGCGGCGGCTCTCTCAAAATTAAGTTTCTTGCCTGGCAGCGTAGAAGTAAAACATATATTCATTTTGCAGTTGTGGGCAAAGAACATGAAGAACAGGCTCACCACCAAACCCTCCCCCCACCCTGCCCAAGCACCAGGACAAGTACAGAATTAGCAGCTCCATCCTCCACAGCAGTGTAAGGACATCTATCCTGCCGTGCTTGGCTCTTCACCTCCTCCTCGTGAGCCTCCATCCTATGTTTGGGTTAAAAATATTTTGTTCCTGCCCCAAAAGTACGCTTCATAACCCCACCCGCTCAGCTCATTTCCAAACTTGTTTAAGAAAAGCCTCTTCCCTTGATCAGACAGAAGCATTTCAGTGACAGCAACACCATCCCACGAGCTGCCCGCCGCACTGACAGCAGTGAAGGCCCTTGGGCAGCACCCAGGGCTTTGAAGCAGGCAGTGGAAGGTCAGCATGGTGGGAAAAGGGTGATTAACAACTGTAAGCTTATTTATTTCCAACGCTGTACGAGAGAGCAGCGTGCAATTTGATTCTCACCCTTAATTTGTACATTCTCACGGGAATTTGGCAAGGTTGCTGTGAAGAAGAAAGTTTGAAGAACTCTTGCAAAAGACACTGCGCTATGCCAGATCAAGCAAGCTATCAGTTATTTACATTCATTTCAAAGGACAAAGGAAGCCATTTATTTCCACCATATCTGCTTGTTTAAAGAGAAACCAGTTAAGACAGAGCTCATCCTAACCCCGGGGCTTGTTGATGCAGACCCACCAGCATAGCTGTTGGGGAGTAAATGCTGGGTAGGATTGAAGTACCCTGAATTAAGCCACCCTTACAGAACGCAGGAGGGCACATGCATTGGTAAGCTGTCCTAAACCTGTGCTGCTGGGAAGTGTCCTGGTGCAGCAAGGGAAGTTCTCTGACTATCAGTGAGAGCATCCTCTGGTCTGTAGCTCCCAGCAGCCCAGGGGAATTACAAAGCCTGTTTTAAGCACAAATTTCAGAACCTAAAAGGAGGCATATCTGGCTCTGCCACAACTCCAGGACTGAAATGCTTATCTGGTTCTGCTAGCTATTAAACAAAAGGACTCTAACATACAGGAGTACTTCACTTCCCTCAATCAAGGAGTAAAGCATCCCATGTAACATTCATTTCTTTAGACACACTGAGTCTGGCTACAGGCTCAGAACCACATTGTGCTGTGTGGAGTCAGAATAACGGAGGGGAACAAACACCATGACTGCACACACAGCAAAACGCACTTCACCAGCCAGCAGTTAGGTGACATAGCTGAGGTTCCCAGATGCCAGCTGCAGATCCTGCAGCACTGAAACCACAGGCGAGGCTCTCCCACCTCTCCCGCCAACAGCTCTGATGCAGAGTAGCATTTCCCCACCATTAGACTGAGGCAGAAGGAGTTAAACAGTAAAACTGCAGTACATTTGCCTTCCATCTGTGAAAGTGAGAGGAGAAAGAGGAAACCAACGGCATAACCCTGAAATCCCCCACCCTGAGTTAAGAAGGAAGGAACAGACCAAACACCATGCTGTCGCAGCCCGGTGCACGGACCAAACAGCACCTGGAAACATAGGTGGACATTGAAATTTGTTAACTAGAAAGACCATCTACCAAATGTACAGAGCTCTTTTCCAGGTAACTCCTGAGCGTGATACAAGGCAAATTCAGATATTTCCCATTAACCTCGCTGTGCCAATGCAGCTATTTGGATCATCTCCCCAGAACCACGCTGCTCAACAGTGCAATGCTCTGAGCTCACCTCACTTCCCATCATCCAGCATGGGAGTCTGCAGACATCCCATCTGTTTCAAATCTCCCTATTTCTTTTCAAACGCTTTTCTTTTACAGCCTGAATTGCTTTTTGGCTCGCAGAGAGGTGCAGGTTCCAAACTGAGGAGAAAAAGTGTTTTTCTGTTTTCTCATAAGCAAAACCTCACAACAATTAAGACATCTGCCAAGCCAACGCTCACTGCAATTAGAATGGAAAGACTCGACCCTGTTATGAAGCTACAAATACAGATGCTACACCAAAGATGCAGAAAGGTATTTCTTCGCTCAGTTGAGTATGGTCCTCAGGGCAAGGGAGAGCCTAGGTAAGAAAGTCCATGACCCAAAATGCAACACAAACAGGTGCACTCAAATACATTGCAAAGCACCGACACTGCCTGAGTCACCAGATCAAAGCATCAATCATCATAACAGGAGCACAACCGCAGGGCTGAAGGCAGCCAGCCGAGCCTATGAATGGAGTGGGAATGCCATGTTTATCTCAGCACGTGTGCACACTAAGCAGGAAAGAGAGGAGCGACCTGCACCAGCAGCCTACCTGCTCCTCTTGCCTGGCCAGCTGAAAAAGCATGGAGAGATGTGGCCGAGCAACGGCTGCAGATTCACGTCAGCAGTTCCCGCCACGATGGGCAGATGAGTGGAAAAAAAAAAGAACAAAAAAAGTGCCTGGCACAGTGCCCACACACACATCCCAGGAGTGGGGAAAAGAGGCGGGGGCATATACCATCTACCAGCCCCACATCAGCCTTCTGGCTCAAGAAGCTGGCTGATACCAGAAGCGCGTCCTCTCACCGCCCCCCGCGCACCTTTGAGCCCCCTGCAGCACCCACACCTCCTGCCCTGCCGTGAGCCCACCTTTCTTGAACTCCTCCAGCATGGCGTCGAGCTTGGTGTCGTTGAAGACGAAGTGCAGCGGGTGGTTGTAGAAGCGGGTGATGGTCTTGAGCAAAGTGCAGTCGTCAGGGTCCACAAAAGCCAGGTCCTTGACGAAGAGCAAGTCCACGATGTTGGAGCGGTCACCCTCAAAAACGGGGATGCGGGTGTAGCCGCTCTCCATGATCTCAGACATGGTGTTGAAGTCCAGCACAGCCTCAGCCGCTATCATGAAGCAGTCTCGGAGAGGAGTCATCACGTCCTCCACCGTCTTGGTGCGCAGCTCCAGGGCCCCCTGTATGATGTTGAGCTCCTCCTTGACCAGGTCGTTATAAGGGTCGGTGACCCGCAGCATCTCCAGCAACTTCTCACGGTTGTAGACCGTACCGATCTCCTGGCCCAGCACGCAGTCCAGCAGCTTGCTGACCGGGTAGGAGGCCGGGAAGGTCATCATCATGAAAAACTTGGTGAGGAAGATGGTGTTGGCGCCCACGGCCAGGCCGTGCCGAGAGCAAATGGCCTGCGGCACGATCTCGCCGAAGATGACGATACCGATGGTGGAGACCACCACGGCCACCAGCCCCGAGCCAGCAATGTCATCCAGCAGGATGGTCAGCGTGGTGTTGACCAGGACGTTGCCCAGCAGGAGGGAGCACAGCAGGTAGTTGCCCTGGCGGCGCACGGGCTCGATGCGCTTGGCGTAGTTCTTCTCCTTGTCTGTGCCACAGTTCTGCACGATGCGCAGCTCCATGGGGTCCAGGGCCATCAGGCCCAGGTTGAGACCGCTGAACATGCCCGAGAGGCAGAGCAGCAGCGAGATGAAGATCACCTGCAGCCAGAAGGGCAGCAGGAACTTCTTCTCCTCGCCCACGATCATCTTGGTGTCCTCTCCGTCGTGGTAGATCCAGGTGGTCTCGCCCCACGGCGGCGGCCCGTCCCGCCCCTCGGCGTCCACCATCCTCCCGGCGGCCCCGGGCCCCAGCGCGGCGGCGGAGACGGAGGTGCACAGGTAGTAGGACTTGCTCTTCTCCGTCTTGCGCAGGGGCTTGATCTCGATCTCGATGATGCCGGAGGTGCGGCGGTTGAGCACGATGTGCGGCAGGATGATGATGTCCGACGTGCGGATGCCGCAGCGCTGCGGGGCTCCGCCGCCGCCTCCCGCCGAACCGCCGCCGCCTCCGCCGCCGCCGCGCCCCGCCGCCCCCGCCGCCGCCCGCCCGCTAGCCAGAAGGGCAGCAGGAACTTCTTCTCCTCGCCCACGAT